ATCGTTTGCGCCTAAACAAGGCTTTAAAAACGGGAAAAAAGCCTAAAGCAGTCTATCACGGAATCTCTTGCCGTGTCATGTGAAGTTTCTCGGGTTTACGGTCTGTACTCACATATCACATATCCGTCTGTCTATATGTGTATACGATCGGACTGGACTATTTTTGAGGAAGCAGCTCCATCCAGATTCGGGAGATATCAACACGAGGTTCGTGTCATTCATTACACCATAGCCCATCACGAAGTTCAGGAATACTAACCGGATCATTGTCTCATACAGTAGTACTTTGTGTGACATGTGTTGTGAATCTCGAGCTTTCTTCACTCTTGTCTGCTTTAGTCGGGGCATGGCTTTTCCTCTCGATTATTCGGGATTGGTTTCTCATGCCCCTGGGGTTGGCTGATGATATCTCTATACTTCATTTTCTTCATGCCTCCTTCCATCCCCCAATCTTTCTCTTTCCTTGTCTACTTCGGCAGTAACCTGCTATCCATGTCATTGTTTTAGAACTCCACCATCAGATGTTTCTTATATCGAATACGAACATGTACATATACCCATAGAGTATTGCTTGTGACCGAGTGTTATATAACATGTCTATCTATTTACCAGAGCTTTCAATTTTCCTTCAAGCCACCTTACAGGCGCCTAGATGCAATACAAACCAAGTCAATGAAGGGCGCCGAGTAATCTGGTATCTAACTATCACAGCCCTACAAATGAAGTCACAAGACGTGTCACTCGGGTGTAAGCGGCCTCCAATTTAGGTCATCGCTAATGGCCTCCCCAAGAAGGTCTTTCGTATTCGTATTTGGTCCTCTTTCCGGAGATTCAATGCTTACACTGGGAGAATCCAGGTCTCTCCGCTTTTGCTCGAAAACACATTGGTCATCCGTGAGCCGCGTTTCCGTTGAAGCGTCCCTGTTCCGCAGGAAAGACTTGGAAACGGTCCGTGGTGGCAACCGAGGATTTTCCGCATTGGTGTTGCTGTTGCTTTCGGCAAGTAGAGGGGTAGGACACCAATTAGCAGGCCCGTCACATAAGAAGGGATTCGAGTCCCGATGGATATTTAACACATAATCCTTGGCCGGGGGGGCTAACTGCGACTTCACAGGGATGCCTTAAGCATATAGATCAGTATATTTGTTCGAAGAACGGTCAAGGGTTGATGTGTACGTGATATTGGTTCTGTAACCTAACATACCTTGGTTTAACCACCATTTATATTGCTCAGAGCTAGCAGGTGGAAGTTCCGAAGCAATGTGGTCAAAAGCTATCAACTCACCATCCACTTTTTGTACCTGAGTCGTCATGTCACCGAGCCTGAGATTGTTTTGTCGTTCTTTGTATAGGGATTGCTGGATCTTGCTCTTTCGGGCCTCATCGACAACATTGATTATGCATGTAAACACAGCCCAGACTGGGCGATGATCCGAAATTCGGAGATCTGCAGAGCCATAATCTATTTGTCGGAGATTGGTTCCTCTCCAAAGAATCCGGTCACACCATGCGGGAATACGCGCCTTTTCCCTATAAGCGGTTAGCTACCTTCGAATATATCGTCAACAGGGCCCTTACGAGTCATCATAGTCATTTCTACCGATATTATATTTGTAAGTCGGCGGGAAGCTAATAGGCCCTTCCGTGTAGAATTGGAAAGCCCTACCCGCCACCATCTGTAAGTTCAACTGCGCTTTGTTAATGAAGGTCCACAGGCCTTGCAAGAGAAGCACAAACCTGATCATTATCGTATAGCGTCTGAAAATCTCTTTGCTGCACAAGCTCCCTCGCTTTCTGATTACTCAGACCAATGCGATAATTGAAGTCCCCTAGCCATATGACAGCATCATGGTCCTCGATTGATCTGTTCCTCAAAAACCTCAGACCGCGAAGAATAGTCTCATAGTCTCTATTCCTCTCGTCGTAGTTCGCAAAGCCAGCAGCAAGATGGGCGGTAACGAAGCAAAGTCGAGTGTTAGAATATTCAAAGCGGATGGCACAGCCTCCTTTATTACCAGCCATTCCCGAAAGGCCCGTCTATGCGGGTCAGCTGAAATGTCTCACAGAGTACTGAGGATTCATACCTTTTTAACGTTTCCCTCAACATTTTTTATATCGCTTAAAGCATCTTCTCTCGCATATATCATCAAAGCAGAGCCCACAAGTTGGCCACTTCGCAAGAGGACATACTTGGGAGTTCCCATGGCCTCTGCACGTTTGTTGAGGCAGGTGTGTACTGCAATCTCCCACGCCTTACGGGTGGTAGGGTCTGTGGACATTATCTGCTGTGGACTTAACGTGACGATTTCTTGAAAACCGACGGCGTAAATCAGGGGGTCATCGGCCTGAGAATCGTACTTTGGGAATAACCATGCCCTCAAATCACCATCGGGTCCTTCATGGCGCCCATTGACATTAAATGTTCCCGTCCAAACCGTGACAGATTTAGAATAAGAAAATTCCTCAGAGCGTTGACTTAGTTCCTCTAACACGAGATCATTGATCGGGTCGTAAAGATGTACTGGAACTTGGTCTGTCAACCGTCCCAATAGAAGATCAATTGTGTTTTGACGGGCCTTGTCCGCGAAGTTGTTGACATAGATCCGGGTAGCTGTTTTGCGCGCATCGGCGAGTGCCCCAGCAATGGACATTTTCCCGTGTCTTGTGAATGAGCTTTTCAGAGCACCGGTTCCAGCGTACATTTTTGATAGCGCATCTCCATTATCTGCCCAGAGAGTCGAGTGGCGCAGTTGCAAATCGGGGCTTATCGTTCCTCCTTGTTGACTGAAGAATATTTCAAGCGCCATTGAACTGATGATTGTTTGTACTAGGTTAGTCCTGTCGAGACAATCCAGGCAATTTGTTCTGAAAACCCCCTCTTGTTGCAGGATTACAGGTGCATTTCTTGACGCATGGTGCTTGTCATATAGAGCTACCGGTCCAATTTCGCCGGATTGAAAATATGCGAATCCTTGTAAAGAGTCGAAGATTTCTTGCCTTATCTGAGAGCTAGCTCCATATCCCAATGGCCCTCGCGCTTCCGCATGGAAATCAAACTCTGTTACCTGCAGCAGAGTGTGATCCGATGAATGCTTATTGAGTGGGCTATTCTGTAAGTGGTTCCGGAACCTTGCCGTGAGACTATATTCACCGGACTTCAATTCACTGAGAAGGTTAACCACATGAATTGCTCCATAATCTAGTTCAAGAGATCTGAAATGTTTATCGAAGGCATGCTTTGTTGCCTCAACAGATCTGGTTATCTCGATCTTTTGCTGACCAGGAAGGAACCCTGTGGCCTGCTCCCAGAATATAGGCACTGAGCCACGAACCTGAACATAGGAAAAAACAATGTCAGGTGGAATCCAGAGTATGGTCTCTGTTTCCACGAAATTGGCGACATGACCATCGTCATCGATGCCTCGGGAATTAAATCTCGTACCAGCACGCCGAGACGACTGGCGCGATATTATTGTTAATGAAGACGGAAGGTGCGTTTTGCGGGTACCAGGCAAGAGTTGAGTAGAGGCAGGAACAGTCAATGTCCCACAGTATCCCCGTATGACGCACGTCAGAATTTGAGAGGAGTCGAGATGCTGCTTTTCAACCGAAGACAGCTGATTTCTAAAAAGGAGAAGTGGGTGTATCATGTACGAATTCCACAGCATGTCTCGATCAAGAGACTCTATGTCAAAAATTCCCGTTTCGTCTGAGCTAGAGTTCATTAGTTACGGTGCCATTTGACAGAAAGGGGTTAACTCACCGGTCCTGCAATCGATCAGTTAGATTGAACTCACAGCTGTAGTAGAAGCTGCCGTCACTTAAAAGCTTCTTTAGAGCTAGGAAGGGAAAGTCTGGATTCGTCTCTTTGCTCTCAAAGTTGAAGTCATGGTCGGGGTCCTGACCAGCGATGGAGGACTCCAATTCGTAGTCAACTTTGTCATCGTATTTCGAATGATTTAGGCAGACTTCTCTTTAAGGTCAATTTCTGCACGACAGTGATGACCAACAGAGACCACTGGGGGGGGCTTACAGAAATCCACACTGTGTATTCTCAGGACAGTCTCTCCAGGCCTGATGGATGCGGCCTTGGAGGAGCCAGTGACCACGCAGAGAAAAACCTCATTATCTAGTGTAACCAATCCGAGAGTCCCATGTCCATCACCAATGACCCTATAGCCTTTCAGATCCACAGATGATAGGGGAGCAAATTCAACCAAGCAGCGCGGCGTAGTCTTGAGATGAGACGCAGTGTTGACCTCCGCTCCTGCCAAGCTATGGCGAAAGATAAGTACGTATTCAGATGTGGCTAATGCAATAGTACGATATGGATAATTTTGAGTATAAATGCGTAGCCCGGACATTGTTAACTTATGACTGGATCCTCCTCGGTCCTCATGATGGAGCGCTCAACTTAAGTCCAGATTGCAGCACACGCTTCGGTTGGCACTCTCAAAGCTTGGCACTCTTGCTACCAACAATGCGGTGCGGTCTTTAGTTTGCATGAGCGAGGGCTAGCAAGAAGTGTTGTGAGAGGTACAGCGATAATGCGAATTTTGCATTGAGACTACATCGGTATTCTAGGACCGAATCTTGCCTACTTTGTAGGTAATGCAGAATCTATACTGAAGCGGATGCAATAGCCAACAGGTGTCTGCCATGAAAGCTGACTAGAACGGAATTCAGTGGCTACAGGAGACTATATACTGTTCTACATATCATGAGTTTCAGCGAAATAATACGGACAGCAACTTCGACGGACTTTCTTCTAAACAACTGAGAAGACAGAGATACCTAGTGACACCTAGTGACACTTGTGACTTCGGAATCTGTTCGAGAGATTGCGGATGTGAATTTGGAGGAACCCCGCAGTATCCATTTGCCCCGGGTCGAGACCGTCTACAGTCACCGAATAAAGTAAGCGGTCACGGTAGGCCGTCGGAGGAAATTTTTCAGGTTTCATTCTCGATCATTATCAATGTCATGACTTCTCTGTTTTACTACCCTTAATTACCATCCTTGCTCTCAATCTTACGAATCCGCACAATTTTGCATAATCTTTGGCGACAGAAAGGAGAATAAAAGTCCGTGAAAAGGGGCCAGAGAATCCTAGGAATCCAATTCACCTACCAAAAGGTGAAATAGGGCAGTGGAAACCGAAGTGCACTTTCACTCATTTGTTGAATTCTTGAAATCGCTGCCGTACTCTATCGCAGCAAATGGGACTTGCAGCACCTCGCAAGTATGTTTTCACGGATTATGTCTATGTCCTCCACTATCTACCTTTGCGGTGTTCTGACCAGGCAGTGACCTAGGAAAATTAAAATCTCCCATGACCCCAATAATACCAATTGGGCACGGTCAACAAGCGGTTTCGGACATAAGATCTTGAGCTCTCAAGGATGGACACCCGGGAGCTTCTTGGGGGCGCGTAATGCCGCACATGCTGAAATGTTTACTCAAGCGAGTGCATCTCATATCAAGGTTGTCCTGAAGGATGATACACTGGGCCTAGGGGCGCGGCCTAAACGTGATCCTTTAAATGAGCCCACTGGACTTGATGCATTCAAGGGACTTCTTGGCCGGCTAAACGGCAAGTCAGACGCGGATTTGCAGGTCGAGCAGCAGAAGCGCGACAACGTAAAACTGGCTCGATATGCTGCCACGAAATGGCAAGCAGTCACATTTATAAGTGGCGGTTTGCTAGCTCAGGAAAAAGTGACCCCCATTGTTACTAAGGAGCCGCAAGGAACCGAAAAAGACAAGCAAGAGGACGGACTTTCTGCTACGTTACCTGCGCCGGACAAAGATCAAGTGAGCTCTGATGGCGTTGAGGGTTCAGGCAATGTTGGAGACCAAAGCGATCACCAAAGCACCAAGAAGAAAAAATCGAAATCCAAGAGCCATAAGGAGAAGAAGGACAGAAAAAGGAAACACACTGACGGGCCTGAGTCCACCGACTCCGGAGATACGAACAAGAAGTCAGCCGAGGAAAAGAGTAAAGCCACAAGGGATGATGAAGAAAGCTCTTCAACAGCTTCTAAGGGTCCGTCGAGGGAGCGCCGTCCGATGGGGAGACATGTTTTTAGAGGCCGACATATTGCGCAGAAGAAAGCGGCTCTCATGGACGAGAAGTCTCTCAACGAGGTGAGAACCGAACACTTTGATGTTGTATATTCAGATCGCAGAAGCTAATGTGTTACAGATATTCATGGTCAAATCATAGCGCCGTATATATCTCTTGCATGACATACCCTAGACTTATAGACATAGATATACTCCTTACTGGTTTGGTTCGGCATTTCCTACAATTGTTCATAACGACCCTTGACACGATTCATACTTGCATGTAATACATATAGGTAGACCGGAGTCTGGGGTGATTCAGGCCAGGTGATGTGCCGTTATAGATTATGAAGGCGTAGGGTTCGCATCAAGCAAAATATGTTGCACCAGAACCTAAATATTCTAGGTACAGGTCTTTTCTTCTTTGTGGTTTTTCGGGAGAGGGAGAGTGGGATGGAGGGAGGGAGCGGGAATATGGCACGCGCGTAGCATACTATGTACGGAGTATTATCGATCCGTCCCTTATCCGGATGTACTCATTTTTCATTGATAATCAATCATATAAAACATATATAGATAGAATTGAACCTCTCTCTCTGAGATGATGTCAGGCTATTAGAACAGCTACAAAGACACAAATACACCAAAGCTAAGGTGACTATGAAGTACACAGTAGATAGCCAATTCAATTTGAACAGTACCTTGGTACTTATTGGTCCTACTAGTCGCTACTTAGTATACACAGTAAGGGAAAATGACGTGGGGTGCCTGCCCACGGACCCACAACCTAGAAAACCAACCCCGTCCTGGCAGCAACCTAGTCGTTACGTAGTCTCTCACGGTCTCACCACTTCGACGAAGCATCTGCATCTTCTAGCCGCTAGCTTCAAGGCTTTGGGGATATATTCGCTGTCTTGGGCGCTATCGAATTATTTGGCTCTCAATCATTACCTGGTACTCAGGTGATAAGCCCACAATTGAAGCCCAGTCAAAACAAGATCGGATCCTTTGACGTGTTCATCAATCCAACTCCAGATAAATATTTCAGAAGCGGTGTCTCGGACTCGCTCTGGTCTATTTTCTACGCATCCGGTCAACGGATGTCGCCCTCCGATACACCACCAGGCCTTGTTCCATCTGGCCAGGAAAATGCAGCGCTACAACCTACAGCTACTGAAGGGTCTCTCAAAGGGCTCTGGAAACGAGCCAGTTTGCCATACAAGGCAAGGTCGTCCGTAATGCCTGATGGTGCTGCTCCCCAAGCAGCCCAAGAAACCATGAAGGAGTCAAGGGGGCCAAGGTAGATATCCCATGCGAGATTTCCCCCTCGAGTCTCGATCTCTAACAAGCGCTCTTCTAGTATCCGTTGGGCCCCACTCAATGTTGGACTCGAACGGCGCTTACAGACTCTGGTGGTGTTATGCCATACTCTGACCATAGCGATCCTGTTAACAGCATTTTTCTTCGTGTGTGCAATCCCCTTGTTCTGGCCTATCATACTGCCTTACCTTATCTATATATCCCTTTTTTCAACGGCAGCCACGTCGGGTGATTTGAGCGGTAGGTGTGACTTCTTACGTTCACTCGGCGTGTGGTCAATATATGCATCGTATTTCCCGGCCCGCTTGCATCGGTCAGAACCTCTCCTCCCAACCCGGAAGTATATTTTTGGTTATCATCCGCATGGAATCATCTCTCATGGCGCTTTTGCAGCGTTTGCTACCGAGGCTCTTGGTTTTGCAAGACTCTTCCCTGGTATCACCAACACCTTGCTTACGCTTGATTCAAATTTCCGAATTCCCTTCTACAGGGAATATGCGCTAGGCATGGGGATTGCGAGTGTCTCGCGCGAGTCATGCGAGAACCTGTTATCAAAGGGCGGCATTGATGGGGAAGGAATGGGGCGTGCTATAACTATCGTCATAGGTGGTGCTCGCGAGTCTCTTGATGCTCTTCCGCATACATTGCGCCTTGTACTCAAGAGGCGTAAAGGTTTTATCAAACTGGCAATTCACACTGGCGCCGATCTTGTGCCTGTACTGGCCTTTGGTGAAAATGATCTCTATGAACAAGTGCGCTCTGAAAACCATCCTCTTATACACAAATTGCAGATGCTGGTCAAACACACATTGGGATTCACTATCCCGTTATTCCATGCCCGTGGCGTGTTCAATTATGACGTCGGTTTGATGCCATATCGTCGGCCACTCAACATTGTTGTCGGTCGTCCAATCCATGTTGTGCAGCAGCGCGATAGGGGGAAGATCGACGATGATTATATAAACCATCTCCATTCCTTGTACGTGCAGGAATTAGAAAGAATATGGGAAGAGTGGAAAGATAAATATGCAAAGGATAGGACATCGGAGATCGAAATCGTTGCTTGACGAACGCTAACAGCGAAATTTATCGGAGACAAAGGAGGGGGTTTGTTCTGTATCTCTATCTTTATACATATGCTTATATATACTTGTGTCTAGATATTTAGGTTATTAGGCACATAAGGTTTCAGGTGAGAACGGAATTAGGCTCAAGGTCTGACTATATCTATTATCATTATCATAGAAGGTATAAAAATGCGGTTACTATTGATCATGGACGTATATTTACATCGAATAGTCGGATTCTGAGTTAGCTCTGGGCAGTGCTGTATATAAAATTAATGGCATACGAACTAACTGGCAATGACCAGGGGGGCTAAAGTCTGAAGACATCCATGCTATAGTACATGAAACATATACACATATGTTTTTGTAAAATCAGAGGGCTCCAAACGTGTACCTGTATAGACCTGTCTAGGTCCTATCAGGGCTTTACTCGGGTTGGATTGCACAAAATCCCAAGATAGTACTAGGCTGGTCATATTACTTACATGCCGAGCAGCAGTGTTTTGTCAGGAGAATGTATTTATATAGTACTTATCTAAATACCGCATGATTGCATGCTGGATACACCCTACTACTCCTCCTGCCGCAGAGAAGTCCGTTGGCAGGAAAGGTATGCTTGACCACAACAGTTCAACTAGCTGTATCAGCCTGTTCAACTAACGGTTCAGGTACGTTCTAACAGTTAGAACTAATCCACCTGGAATCAGCTTCGTGTAACAAAGATGCCAAGTCACCATTCCCATTCCACGATATAATGACTACTATTGGTTGCTATTACACGGTCCCAACCAACACTTCTCAAGGGATATATGTCCAAACGGAACCTCCTAGGGACCGGATTAGGATTCTCCACTACAGACCATTGGGAATAAAGGTTTGGAAAGGAATGATTATATCCTTCTACCCTCTCAACGTATTTTCATTATGTCATTACCAATCAACATGCCTACCACCAGGCAAGCGTAACAGGAATATTAAGACAGAGAAATGGATGAAAAGGAAGCACAAAACGAAGCCAGAAAAGAGCAAGGGAAACCGGGTATCTAGATCAGTCCACACAAAAAAGGGTATTATAGAAAGAAACGTGGAATGACAACGAAGAGGGTGCGAGGTAAGGCAAGGCGGAAGAGGTGAGAACCAAGAGCCAGAGATTGTGTGCTGAATGGCGCGTGGCGGAAAGGCAGTCAAACCACAGGCATACTGCCTGCCCTAAGCAGAATCATAATAGACGTGAAGAGGAAAGAGTGTCCCGCGAAAAGACGGGCCAAATTGAGAACAGAGGACGTAATTGAAAATTGCTGGCCTCAGCCAGAGCTTGCCAAATCCGTAGTGCCCTTGCTCAACCCTGGCAAACCGGTCATGGATTCAGATGCCCGCCGACTTTCTGCGGCAACGCGAACACTCCCACGAGAGCCCTTGATGAGGTGCCCACTCTCAAGGCGGTCCTGTAACATCTCGTCCAAAATGCGTGACACGTCGTCCATGCCACGCCTCTTTTCTTCCGTTTCTTCCTCTTTGAGTGGTGAACAGAGACCAACGGCCGAGTCATAAGCCGCTGAGTCATCGCCATCGGGTTGATGTTCCTGACGCCCGGGTCTTTCTTTTGTGTCTGACACAAAGGAGTCGGCTGCTGAATGGGCAAGATCTCGGTGTCGAGCAGCAGAACGAAGGGCAGCAAGCATCCGGTCCTTATCGTCTAGTTGTAGACGAAGCTCATTGATCTCCATGTCTTTCTCCCGTAAAAGAGCTAGTACATCAGGAGCGTCAGAAGTAGTGCCCCCAGCCTTCACACCTATGGACATGCGGGAATGACTGGACCGTCGTGCTTGCAGAAGCCGCCGCTCTAGCGTAGAGATATAGCGATTCTTGTCGTTAAGGTCGGCCTGAAGGGCTGCGATTTGTCTTTGGGCGCTTGCTTTTCCATCCGCAAATTCGCCAATAAAATCATCCTCATCTTCATTCCCAAGATGACCATTTGAGAACGGTTGATTACCGGGGTAATCACTGCTGTTAATAGAAAGAAAGGAGACTGGTCGGAGCGACGAGTGCCCATATGCGCCTAATGTAGACTGGCTGAGTGACGAACGCAAGGATCGAGATCCAGTTTCGGTAGCCGACATCCTTGAAAGGCGACCAAGAGCGGATATGCTTCCATAGGTATTTACACCAGTAGACTTTGAACATAGAATCAAACGATTCAAATGCTCGATCCTTTCCTTTAATGCCGTCCGAGCCAGTTGCATTTCAAGCATTTGCTCTTCGTGGCGTGCCTGTGCTTCTTTTTCGAGCTGCTGCTCTTCCAGCTTCAGCTCCTTCTCAGCTTGGGCCTTGGTCTGACTCTCTAACTGGTTACGGAGCGTCTGAATCTCCATACGGTACCGCTCCAGGAGAACTCTGCTTCCAGCATCACCTCCACCACTACCAAATGCTTCCTCCGCGCGTTTAGCATGGCTGACAATGCTGTTCTTGGCTCGAGCTGCGAACTTCAAGGTGTTGAGCGTTTCGCCGGAATGAGACTTGGCTGTCCCTCCTAGCTGAACCGTGCAAAGAATACTGACCAGCGAGTTCCCTGACAAAGCAGGCTGCAGTAATCTCGTGAGTTTGCTGTCCCGATATGGAAGGTGTTTCCCCTCTTTATCAGTTGGGTTGCCGGTCTTATCTCTTGCCTCCGATAGTTTAGAGATAATAGTTCCCAAAGTAAGCAAGCTTTTGTTAATATGGGCACCTTCCGTACGCCGTTCCTTGTCCTCAGCAGCGCGCTCTGAACCAGCAAGATCGATTAGACTCAACGTTGACACTCGGACTCCACCTGGGACCAAGCCTGACCGTCTATCTTGAGAAGCTCCGGCAGGCACTCGTTCCCTGCTCTCGACAACAATTTGAACAACCGCGTGACTTCGAGAGCTGCGAGCGTTAAACTGCGTGCTACCGGTCCGCCTAGCATGGTCGCCCCTCGCGATCACACGGAGAAGCTGTGTCGGGCTTTGAACAATCTCTTCTTTCAGTGGCGTGGCATATACACCACGTTTGCTGTCTTCGCGGAGCTTGAT